AAGTAGATTGCCCAGTCTTCCTTCTGAGGGGTATTTTCAATCGCTTCATACGCATGTGAAAGCTGGACAGTGAATAAGGAAGAGTTGATACTTTTGAGCTATGGTGTCAGCGAAGAGTACTGAAAGTACCATGAGCTGCCAGAAGAACAAATCTTCCTGAAAGAAGTGCAGCTAGAATGTTTCTTGGGAGTGAGAATGGCCAGACTTCATCTCACCTACTTTGGTCATGTTGTCAGAAGAGACCATTCCCTGGAGAAAGATATCATGGTTGGTAAAGTGGAGGCTCAGCAAAAAAGGGGAAGCCCTCAAAGTGATGGATTGGCTGCAACAATGGGCTCAAGTATAGCAAAGACTGTAAGGATGGCGTATGACCAGACAGTATTTCATAGGGTCTCTATGAGTCAGGTCCAACTCAACAGCACCTAACAACAACATGCTCTGGTGATGCAGTGCCTAAGGCACTTTGACTGCTAACCAGAATATTGGCAGTTCAAATCCACCAGCTACTCCATGGAAGGAAGATGGGGCAATCTACTTCTGTAAAGATTTACCACCTCAGAAACCCAATAGGGGTCACTATGAGTCAGAATCAACTCCATGGCAGTGGGTTTGGTATACACACACACACACACAGACATCCACATACTTGATTCCCCTGCCACCAAAGTTGTTACTAAGCCTGACTCAAACCCAGGAAGCATAGGTAGTCTTGGCAACCTAAAAGACTCCAGAGCCACAGCAAAATAAGTTTCTCATTTTTGAATTTTCTGAAATTTAGGTTGAGCTAACCATGACCAGGTGCTGTGAGTCAGTCAAGGGAAGAAGGAGGGGAAAATAAGAATACAAGGACAAGAGAACAGCCCTGAGAATAAACATAGATGTGGTGCCTGAAAATATTCAGATGGCTGCAGATCAGGATATAGATGGGTAGAAAAATGAGAAAAGACAGATGAAATGCCCTATGATTAATCTGTAGGCCACTGTCCTAAGTCTATGTACATCGGGGAAAGAGACGAGGGGAAGTAAATTAGAAAGTTAACTGATCTCTTAGAACTCTTCAAATAAGAGCACAGATCTTGTTGGAGTGCAGCTGTTCAAATAAGAGTATTTTTAGATATGTCTATCTAGTCCCTAAGGGAGTAAAGACTAAAGGGCCTACACTAAGAAACAATCATGCCACAAACTCAAGAACACAAAAGCCCTATTTGAGAGAAAGAGTTGGAGAACTTGGCATTTGAGAGACACAGAGGGAAGGCGTGTGGAATGGCAGAGGGAAAACTGAAACAGAGAAAAGATCAATCCTACCTGCTCACTCAGGTTTCGCTGTTCAGCACAGATCTCCAAGACACAGTTGCTGGTCTGCTTGGCCAGCTCCTCCAGGAAGGAGTTGCAGTGGTGAAGGCCATGGTTCTTCAGGTGAGAGTACTATGGAAAAAGGGACAAAGGAAGAAATTATAACTACCAGGGTAGCCACTTCTTAACTCATAATACTGCTCTGATCCCCTTGCCTGAGCTACCCACTCCTTCTACAAAAGAAGAAACAGGCAAGGGACATATTCTAGATCAAGCTGAGGTATTTAGGGACCCATGTCACATATCCATGTTTGTACCCTTCCTGGATCAAAATCAACCCTTGAGGATTTTCCATTTTGGAGATTAAGGATGAACTGTGATTAGAGAGATGACAGGGTTCAGAGTTCTGGACACCTACCTCCTCTGGACACATCTCATGAGTGCAGTGGGCAAAATGTGCACAAATCAGGGGGAAGGCGATGGCATAACGTAGCATAGTAGGTTCCTCCAGGGTTGTGGCAAACATCTTCTCAAAGGTACGGAGGTGAAAACTGAAGAGAAAGGGGAAGGAAATTTAGAACCATGGCATAGGAGCTGGTCCCTCTGAGATGCAGGGAATAGTCATTCTGTCAACAAATATTAATTGATATCTACTATTCCCTGCTTGATTTTCCTTACCCTAAGGAAGAAGGAAAACCTATCTCTTTCAGACATTTTTACTATGGACCCCAGGGTGGTTTAATGATAATCTTCTTCCTTTTCCTTGCACAAAACTTGCTATTCCTCCCTCAGAAACTCTGCATGATTTGGGTCATTCCCCCTGATTTAGAACCCTTTGAGCACTGCCAATTCATATGCCTTCCAAAATTCAACATTCCAACTACAGAAAACCTTCTCAGTTATATCCATGAGATCCATTTTTCTCAACCCTATATCCTTTCAACATTGTGTACTCATTGTACGTTTTTTTACATTTCCAATTATTATGTTGAGGTCCCTTTCATATGTGGTTGTTATGCTTATCTCCATCCAAATTGAATAATGGCATCCTGAGTGGTACAAATGGTTAAGGGGCTAAGCTGCTAAACAAAAGGCTAATGGTTTGAGTCCATCCAGAGATACTCCAGAAGAAAGGCCTGATAATCTACTTCCAAAAATTCAGCTACTAAAAACCATGTGAAGGAAAGTTCTACTTTGCACTCATATGGTCGCCATGAGTCAGGGTTGACTCAACAGCAACTGTCTTTGTTTTGTTTTGTTAATTGAATACAGAGAGCAGAGACAAAATACTAGGTGTTTTTTTTTTTTTTTTTTTTTTGGTTTTTTATTTGTTTTTTACTCTCCTGTTGAGTAATGCACAACAGTGGTCATCCAGTAAGTGTTGAATGCTACCTTAAGAAGACTGTTTTGGTTACCTAGTGCCAACAGTATACCACAGGTGGAATGGCTTGAACAAACGAGTTTATTCTTTTACAATTTTGGTAGCTTTAAGTCCAAGTTCAGAGTGCCAGGCTCTAGGGGCTTGGTAAAAGCCCCTCAACCTTGGGCTTCAGCTCTGCCTCCTGCTCCTGGCCCACTGAAGCTGGAGGCTTTTCTTCACTCTGACAGCTGCTGGCTGCTGAGGTTCATAAGCCCAAGGTCAACAAATAAAATGACACAGTCCTACTAGTAACAAACTACAAGGCAGGCCATTAATTAAAGTCCTGAAAAAGTCCCAAGATCAGCAGGGCAACATGGTAGGCTGTTGAACAATGACCCGGCTACATGCAGGGTTCAAGCTTGCCATCAGTTGGGAGACCTACTTATATACTGGAAGCAGCTCACATCCCTAAAGCAGCTACTCAGATGGTCCAGTAGATTTCACCATGGAGTTAATTATCAATCTCACCATGGGGAATAACTACATCCAGCTGCCCAGCCATTCAACCAGGCCCAGACAAGTTGACACACAACCTTAACTGCCATAAAGACAAACTAATTTTAATTCTCCAAAAGCCTGTTCTCCAGCTCTCTCAATTATTTTCAGTTTTCTCCACTAAATCTCTTATGTTTTCCCTGTCTCTTTTAAATCACAATGTCCCAAGAGTAAAAAGAAGCTGAAGAAAGTTTCAAAGGTAAAAATGAAGATGAAAAAAGATTGGAAAAAGACATGTGACTGAATTATCTCAGAGAAAGGAAGGCTGTGTAAAGTTTAAATGATTTTCCTAAAGAGGATGACTACAGAACAAAACGGAATCAACTTCAAATTCCTATCACTTAGGATTATTAGTCGAAGCTAAATGGGTTTGAGTACCTGCCTTTAAAGACATCTCAAAGAGAAAAATACTTCCCCATCTGTCTAGGGAAATTACAATCCTCTACAGAGGCCGAGGGGGGGTGGGATCGATCAAGCGAATTGATGAAGAGCTCTCAACCAGGACATACCAGAAAGTAGACAGGTCAGAAGTTTCCACAAGCATTTTCTCTACTGAGTCCAGCATTCGAGAGTGAAAGACAATGAGGTTCATCACCTTGGCTAAATCAGGGTTCTCATGTAGGTGCAGGGGGGCCTTAGCCACGCTGGTATATGCCTGTGGTTGAAGTTGGGAAAAGGGTGGAGAAAAATAAGAGAGATGAAAAGGACTCCCAGACACGAGACTGCAGTTTGGCTTTCGTATGTCCTGTCCAATTAGTAGTTTCTCTAGGTTGAATCACCCCATCCAGCAGAGCTTCAGAAATAAAATTAGAAGGGATTGTGAGGGAGGAAAAATTTGAGGATGGGGGACCATTAATAGCAATAGACTATTACCTGTAGGCGAAACCAATCCAATCTCAAACCAGAGAATTCAAATTTCTCTCCGTTATCAACTGCAAAAAAACAGAAGCAAATTTAAAAAGTGAACGATAAAACAGCAATTTAATATCCCAGATTGCACAGAATAACAGATCCTCTTCCAAGTCATCATTTCTAATATCCTGGCTCAAGAGATCACTATTTCTAGAGAAACGATGTTCACCCTCATATATGCTCTACTCCTCCACTTCGCTCAAGTTACCTTGTTTGAGATTCATGGAAGAGAGAGTACTGACAAATGAGGACATGATGATGGACTCCTCCTCAGGACACACGGACAGGTTCTGAAAGAGAAGTTGAATAACAGTCAAATGGACATAGGTTCCACTAGGACAGAAAACAAGACCAAAAGGCTTGATCAATGTATGAAGGTAGAAGAAACTGGTAAGTGCCACAAACAGAGAAGAAATACCAAGAGAAATATGGAGGACTCTTTCTAAATTCCCTGCCACACTAACACCTAGTTTCTTTTTAACTTTCTTTCCTAGTTCTATGTAGCTTCACTTGGGGACAAAAAAAAGAAAGAGAGAGACTATTATCAGTTCTTTAAAAATATGTATACACAAAGTATTGTTCCACCTACTACTTTGGCGAGTAGCGACTGGGACCTTAAAAGCTAGGAAGCTGCCATCTAGATGCAACAACGGGTCTCTCCTCGTCAAGAAGA